CCATCGCATCTTGGCAGATCGAGGTCCCGGCATATGCAAACCTGCACATTATCGGATGCAAATCTCTTCTGGTTGTGCAACACCTCACCTACCGTCCTATTTCTCGTCCAAATTACACGGATACTGGTTCTCAGGAACTTAGCCACCGCTCTATCGGTCACCCTTGCCTCAATCGCGTCCTCCGCCATCTTGCGTATGTTGCTCTTCTTAGTGCATGAGTCGAAGCGCAGTTTCACGTTAATCCTCTTCCTGCCTTGCACCGAATGGCCTTGTCGATCTTCATCCTCAGCGAAATCTTGGTCTTCTTCTCCGCAAAGAATCCTGCTGTTCGATACAAGCCCACTAACTTATTAGTGGTAAGGTTAGCCAACTGAGATGTCGGTCGAGGTCTACGTAGTAGCTCTGCTAGCATTTGCTTATGCTTCTCGGTGGTGGTCTTGATTTTTACAACTTCGAGGAACTCGGCGGGTCCACCTCTCTGGAGTACCTGCTTCGCATGCTTAAGTAACAATGTCTTTCCACCGATTAGTAGCCTAGTTTCACCGAATGTCCTCCTAATTCGCCTCCAGCTATCGATCCATATATCTCCCTTACTGAAAAACGCAGTACCAGTTCTTCCTCCCATCTCTCGTTTCGACAACAGCCATCCTATCAGGGAAGCAAAACGTGTCCCCTAATATTCACAAACAACTGTCTCCTTCACTCTAGCCCTTGCGGATCTTCCTATCCTTTCGCGCCTTCCTTTTCTCCTTCTACGGTGCGCTCTGTCGTCCTGCTTCCGAGCTTCCCTCGTGTTCAAGCTCGGATTCAGGTCGGCGATCATGAAGCTCTCGAAAGCGTTGTCGTCCTCCTTGTCGGGGTGCCGGATTGGTAGGATAACGTATTTGTCTGGGCCAAACGCTCTCATCCATCTGTAAAGGTGAGGCGTCAGGCCCAGCGCATTGCAACGTGCATTCCGGCAGTGCTCCCGCCATCTCTGGATTATCGGACGAACCGTACATCCGACGTAGCTCTTCCTATTCCAAGGGCTAACTACAACGTAGACTCCTGGTGAGTTAAGCTCCAACAAGTCCCCCAGCCTCTCAGTCCTAGCGAAATACTTCTCCAACCAAGGGATCTGTCCCCTAATCGTGAGCAAGATCGTAGTGAGTGATATCACTACTTCAACCTTCCTACTCACCTCTGGACTAGCCTTCTGCTCCCACAATGTTGTGCGCCGTCCTAACCACAAAACCAATGAGCTCCAAAGTTGGGCATTCGTGGGAGTCAGGAACCGTCAATTGGAGTCCTCCTGTGGTAATGTCGGTGCTGATTTCAAGATGACTCATGGCTGTCTTGCGCTCCTTTGTTCCTGCACAATCCTGTCCTTCCTCATCTCAGCTCCAGGTGTTAGTGGTGCTTTCCCTTTTCTGGTGGCGCTCTCGTCCTCCTCTTTTCCTTCGAAGCCATCGTAGGCCAACTGTACTTGTTGCCTTGCCAGTGGTTCCACTACCTCGGGCTTCTTAGTGTACTTAATGCCTTTCTTGTCGCAAATCTTCCTCAAATCTGGAGCGCTCTTTCCTGAGTAGATCTTGTGAGCGGAGATGCAATAATCGATAAGTCCTTTTTGAGAGCAGCTAGCTGAAAGTCCTTTGTATCCGCCTGTCAGAGGAGTCTTCGGTTCCTCTGTTCCTTCCACTCGTTCCGCTCCATCAGCCCCCGGTGGTGTCTCCCCGCATCGGGCATTACCATGCTTCGAACATTCACCTCTTTCGAATCTAGGAGTGAGGTTGAGTGGCGAGACCGTAACCTTCTCCTTAACCTTACCGGTCTTTGCTTTGGTTCCTCTCCTACTTACCTTCGCTCTACGCGCCTTATCCCGGACTGGTGCTTCCTCTGAATCCGTTGAGGCTTCGGATGTTCTGGAATCCGTTGTTGTCGTCGAGTCCGAGGTCTCAGAAGATCCAGAATATCTTCGCCTTCTTGTCTTCCTGCCTTTCCTCTTATTTTTCCTGGATTTTCGATCTTTCGCAGAATGGTGCCTAGTCTTCACGGTTGCATTCTTCAAAGCCAGCTCCGCCTCTTGATTCCTTTTTTTCCATTCTTCGTTTAGGTCCATCCGCAGTTGCAGTTTGAGCTCTTCCATCTTCCTAGCGAAGTCTTGGTTTCGTCGTAGCTCATCTTGCCTTCTTCTCCTCCTCTGCTTTCCGCTTCTCTTCCAGTTCCTGCCTCTCCCTCCGTAATTGCCTATGATGCTCTTTAATTTCCTCGAGTTCGGGGTCGATCGTATTCTGGTTCTGCTGGTTAAAACGCCCTCGACTCGTCCAGCAATCGCGGGCGTAGTGCCCGAGCTTGCCGCAATTGTAGCAGCCGCTATTCGATCTCCCTGGCAAAGCACTGCCAGCTCCTCCTTGGCCCCCTTGAGGGGTAAGGTTTCCCATTCCTCCATTATAGTTCCCACCACCGTACCCGTTGCCGTTTCCGCCCGCAGGTCCGTTAGTCAGATACATGGTGGAAGAATATTCAAAAAACCCGTAGCAGGGTCTTCCCGGCAAAACCCCCGTTAATCCTACTGCTGTCGTGACTGTAGGTCCAACAATATAATCCGCCAACAATTGCCTCAAGTGGTCCAACTAAATCTAATCTTCATTTAGACAGTAGGTTAACCAATAATAAACCGTCGATAATTGCCTCAAGTGTTTAAACTACCTTTAATCCTCGTTTGGCGGGTGAAATCGTAGCATCTAGTTACTACTGTCTCCAGATTTTGGCAATCTCCTCGTAACTAACGTAGCCCTCCCTCATCGTAATCTTCGTTCTCTCAATGCGTACTAACGTTTTAAGCAGCTCGTCATAAAGTCTGTCATGCATTTGAATATTCTCGACACATCCAGCCATGTAGAACATCGGTCTGATCGTCGTTTTTACATACCGATTCAACCTTTTCCTCAACCTTATATGAAGCGGCACAGTACGGACGCTGGAAAAACGTCTGACACCACATCTTCTACAGCGGGTCGGGATTATCAACGTCCAGAGAGTCACAGTGCAGCCCCTAGAACTATAACTCCTGCCCCTATTATCATCAGTCCAATCCCAAAGAAGATAGTTCTCACCATAACCTTCCCCCGTCCCATGTCATGTCAAATCTACGCTTCAAGCCTATCGTCTGTATCCAGGTAAACTTAGTTCGTACCACTCATTTCTCATTCCCATCCTCGTCGTGGCTTCCACAACCGCCGGACAGGATCGAGCCGAACTTGTGTTACGCTTGTGCAGGAATCATCTCTCTCTCTCGTATCGTCGTCGTAGCCACCAAACTAGCATATACAGCTTTCGGTTACTACGTGCCTACGAGTAAGGCAGAACTGCGGCCAAACAGCTCTCGTGGCAAGATAGTGATTAGTCAACTGACATAGCAACCAGAATGCAAGTTCAGAGCGAAGCTCAAACTCGAAAAAACTGATAGAATCAGAATGCAAGTTCAGAGATAAGCATGAAGCATAGATACCTCAAACTCGAAAATTGATTCAGATGCCAGAAAAACATACACACACATCGTCACCACCATAGCGCAGCACTAGTGGAATCCCCCGACCGGTTTCGCCCGTACCACTATACGGGTCTCCTCAGGAGGGTGAACTCAGCAGAGTTCGTGTGCCAAAAAGGGAGCTACAGGCCTTGCTCCCCCTAGTATATATAGCTCATAGTAGCTCAATATTTAAGTCGTGCTCTATTAGAGTTCCCTTCCTATCCTTCCGCCTCAAGAATCTGGTGAGTGGGCCCACAAGAAGCAAATATAGTAGCGTGCAGGTCGCCGATCTTCCGTATCGGTCGAAAACTCAAAACGTCGGG